GACGGTAGCTCTACGCGCTGCACTTTCACTCCACCAAGCAAGCATAGTCAGACAGGGTACTAACCTAGTTCTGCAACACAACATAGAGAACTGTTTTTAAAGCTCTATCGTCACGTTCGACAAGAATGGTGCATGAGATTTTGAGGTCTCGCCGTTAAGACAACCTCCTTCCACCTTGTCCCGAACAAACCCTAACCTGCTGCCGCTGCTAACCAGTACGAGGTGGTGAATACAGCCAGCTTTTTTTTTATCGTGAACGTTTCGGCGACAAAATTGTTACATTTGTCGACCAGGGTTTTTTGCCCCCGACGCCCGTGATTCCTACATCCCAATCTGACTGATCTAACTTTGTTGCAGTCCAAGTACTCTCCTGAAGGCAAGCGGTCTGGTGTGCGAGAGTTAATCGTCAGTATGTCTACCCTTTGGGTACGTGCCTTCTCGGGTAGCTGTCTACATCGCACTCATGTATGTGTAGACCGAACACCGCAACTCAGAGGGTCGTACCTATTGGTATAATGTGAGTCAATCAATGAGAGTCGTTGTATCGACCTGCGCTGATCAAATCAACGAACGGAAAGAATGATTCTAGGCAAAGCGTATGGGAGAAGCCCGACGCGCTCAAAACACCGTTCGAAGTATGAGAGACATTGTCCTGCTTTTTGCAGGTTGCTCATTGAATGCAGAGAGCACTAGCAAACACGCCATGGAAAGAATACGTTGCCAATGGAAGGAAGTATTGGTATAATGTGGGTGGTCCGAGATAGAATCCATGTCTGTCTAACTCCTGCGAGGACAGACTGAAAACAAACAATCTAAATGGGACATGCCTGATGAACTCACGCAACTTGTTACCGAAGTTGAGAACAACATTCCGAGCCCAGCCCGCCTAGAACCCAAGACAAAGTAAGTGCGGCTTATTGTGGTCCAGATGATTGAACAAAGTGGGTCATGAAGTAGTGCTGCTGCTACAGGTACGTTTGGGAGCTCTGTCACCACCCAACATGCCATTGTGGGCACGACTCCGACTACATTTGTGCCAGCTCAGGTGCCGCTTAGCAACGGAACAGCGACTGGGTCTGGGGCGCTCGGGTTTGTGCCGGCTACTCGGCCTTCGATTTCATTACCTATCAGTACCACAAGCAGCCTTCCTAGCCGCCCAAACCTTCCACCGGATCCCGTCATCCCCCAAGGGGGATTTGCAACTTCGGAGGAGGGCGAGAAAGCATTCATGCATTTACTTCGAAAAGCTGGTGTTGACGCAACCTGGACATGGGACCAGACCATGCGAGCGATTATTACGGACCCGCTCTATAAGTCACTCAAGAGCTTGGCTGAAAAGAAAGCGGCGTGGCAGAAGGTCAGTGGTTTATGGAGCGACATGGACGTCCTAACTGTCCAGCAGTATGTTGAAGATTTGAAAGCAAAAGAGGCAGATGAAAAGGAGGCCAGGCTGCAACGGCTGCGACCCGCCTTCAAGAGTTTGTTGAGTGGCAGCAACAATGTGTATTATTATACAACATTCCGGTCCGCTGAGAAGATATTCTTGGGCAATCCCACTTGGTCCCAAGTCAAATTGGAGGCAGAAAGACGCATGCTGTTCGAAGAGTACGTTGGGGGATTGATGGAAAAGCAAACCGTGAGTGTCCGCGCTGTTAGCCGTTGTTGATGTTGATATCATGCAATTGGAATGCACTAGGCTGCCACGCGAGAAATGCGAACCCGTAATATCAGCAAAGTGGTCGCTTTACTGAAGGAGCTCGATGTGAATGTCACGACTCGTTGGCGAAACGCTCAGGCCCAGGTTTTGGCGTCAAAACAGTGGGCAGAAGATGCAGAGCTCCGACAACTTGCCCCTCTCGACATGCTCCTCGCATTTGAGGACTACAGTCGTGTTCTTGAGCGTGACTACGAAGAAGTACACAGGAAACGTCAGATAGAACGTACAAGAGACGAGCGCAAAGCAAGGGAGGAATTCAGGGTATTGCACCATTCAACTATGATTTTGATCCAGCTCAAATACGTCAAGGAACTGCTGGATGAACTTCAGCGAAGCGGTCTGATCAAAGCGAAAAGCAAGTGGAAAACTGTTTATCCATATCTGGATGCCGATCCTCGTTACTTAACGCTCCTCGGGACGCCTGGTTCAACGCCTCTTGAGTTATTCTGGGATGTTGCAGATGAACTGTCCGTGAAGTTGGATACCCTCGTCACGCCTGTTGAACGTGTGCTGGCGGAGCACGCATTTGTCTTTGATCACAAGACGTCCTCGGCCGAGTTCCACAGATTCATTAGCGAGGTGGTATCCTTGGCTCACATGCCACAGGCAGAGGAGAGTGAAATTTACGATCATGTCTGTCCTCACCCTTTCAGACTCAGGATGATTCTGTCTGACATCCCAACAGCTGAGGGATCGAGCATTGCGACGATATGCAGACGAGAAACGTCGCGCAGAAAGAAGGCTGAGACATTTGCAGGACGACTTGAGATACGCACTTAAGAAGCTGGATCCTCCGCTCGACCTGGACTCTGCTTTTGAGGATGTATGTGTTCTATTCATTCACCAATGGTTCCCCACTTAAGCAAATCAGGCTGTGCCTCGCATTGCCGATTTGGAAGAGTATAAGGTCTTGGCAGATGATGAGGGAAGGCGGGGTGCTTTTATCAAATTTGTCAAGCGTCAGAAGGTGTGTGTTCTTTGTGATACCATCTATTCTCGACTAAATCATTGGTAGGAGAAACTCCGAGAGGTTTCGGAGGATGGTGGATCTGCAACTAGCAGAAAGCGAAAAGACAGTCAATCAAATGGACGGTCACGTCGCGATTACGACCTGGAGCATGATCGCGAGCAGGAGAAGCCCTCAAAGACCTCTCATCATGACGGAGAACGGTATAACTTTCGCCGCCAGCTCAGAGACCATGAAAGAGACAAGCGACATGATAAGGACAAAGAACGAGATGCAGACCGGGAGAGAGAACGGCCGCGCAACAGGGAGGATGTAGACCATGAAAAGGGTCATCGCTCCAGGCAACGGGAGGAGCGGCGTTCGTCAAGACGTTCTGGTCGTGATGAAGGGAATGAGCGGGACCGAGAATGGGATGAAAGTCACCGAGGAGGTAACGCTGCATCTAAGCGTGAGCGCGAGGGTCATCAGGAAAGAGATGGAAGGGAACGAGGAGAATGGTCACACGAGAAGAGTCATCGTGAGCTCTCCGAGGAGAGACCGCCGAAGGTGAGCTCGGTGCCTGTAAAGCTGAAGGGGTTGCTGATGACCTGGCTTGTTGCTGATGACCTGGCTTGTAGAGACCTCGCGTTCAAGATTCACCCTCGCAACAATCGCCGATAAGAGCAGAGACGCCTGAGGAAGGAGAAATATGATCATGGAAAATTAGATTGCATGTCACTGTAGTTTCAGCCGTGCTACTCCGATCCCATACACGTTGCGTGGTCAAGCTCCGATCACTATTTCACCGATTCTCAACCTTGTGTATGGTTGTTTATGCTCGATCATCTTCTTGTAACCCTTTCTTCGTTTTTTCTTCACTACCCTGTGCAGGTCTCCCTTCGTGTGTTCCACGACGGTGGCCGCAATCGAGACGACGTCGTCGGGCAAACATGGATCACCCCTCAGCGTGTAATCTCGTGAACCAAGTTCATGAATCTTGTCGAGGCACAAGACTTGCCCAACTGCCACGTTCTTGAGACGTGGGACCGTCAACAAGTCTTTGGGAGTAAGGAGATATTTTCGACCATGTAGACTAGCAACTGCGTAGTGGGATATCTGTTTTCGCAGGAGGCCAACAGCGGTAGGAAGATCGTGGGAGGACGGCTCCGCCGGAGGATAATTCGTGCAGGAAACTCCGAGGGAGGAATCACTTGTATCCTGTATGTGTGCTCGTGTTATTGGCTTAGGCGCAGAGGGCGAGTGGTGGAATGTTGAAGTGCCTAGAAATCGGCGAAATGGGGCATGAAAACTGTGGCCTGGGCTCGACTTGTACCAGCCGGCCGCTAAATTGTGCAGGATTTCTGAAAGGGATCAGAAGAGATGCTCAGTGCCTTGAAAAGAACTCACCATTTGGGCCCATCGTGCAGGATTTTTTTTGGTCGAGGAGTGAGACTGTGTGCCGCATAGACGGGAAACGTGGGGGACCCTGACCCTTGGCTGTTGAGTGGCGTGGGCATATGGGGACCCTGACCTTCAAGTTGCTGTTGGGTGGCGTGGGCATATGCTTCGGACTCAAACGCGTCAAACAGACGCGCGCGCACCATGATCAGCCTGCGCCAGACTGTTGAACTTGAACCGCCGCAACTCACAATGAGCGCCCAATTGGGAATTCTACCAAGACAGCGGAGAGGACCAAGAACTACATCTCCGGACAGAGACAATGGCCTCGAAGGGTCAATCCGCTCAGGAGACCCAGATGACCGAGCGCTTCCACCGTGGTCAGAGGGGGTGAGGGCCACTGTTTCCGCGCCGCGCATGCACTAACTTGTCATACAGCGATTATCTCCATTGATGTCATTTATGGAGAGATCTGCTAATGTATATGCCACTGGCATTATACTTGGCGCTGTTGCGTTTGCTGTTCGACTGTACAAAATAAGTAATCCTGACGAAGTTGTGTGCGTTGATGATTTCTTATGTCTTGGTTAACAACGATACTGATGATGCACGTTGACTCTAGTTTCGATGAGGTGCATTTCGGTAAATTCGCTGCTTACTACATTCTTAGAGAGTACTACTTCGACGTTCACCCACCATTGGCAAAACTGCTGCTTGGGGCGGCCGGGTGGTTTGTCGGATTTGACGGACAATTTGATTTCGAAAATATTGGGGACAGCTACACAGAGCACCATGTCCCTTATATCGGCATGCGTGTTCTTCCTGCCGCTTTTGGTAGCTTAACAGTTCCATTGGCGTTTGCCATCATGCGTGAATGCGGTTACCCTACGCTGGTCGCTGCGTTTTCCGCGTCTCTGATCTTATTCGGCAAGTCGCTCGTGCGTTCAGTCGCCCCAATATGGTCTCATTCGCCTCGTTAGACAACGGACATGTTGCGCAAGTACGCCTCATACTATTGGACGCTGCGCTGGTGTTCTTTATGACACTCTCGCTGTACTCTTATATCCGTTTCCGGAAGCTTCGTTATTGGTAGGTCCAGTCCTTTGAGCAATCGTAATCTGTGTTCATTCGACCACGCAGGGAGTTTACTTTCGAGTGGTGGGCTTGGATGATAGCGACTGGGGTCTCTCTGGCTTGCACCCTAGGATGCAAGATGGTTGGTCTATTGACCTTCGCTACAATTGGGACGGCTGTGTTGGTGGATCTGTGGAATTTATTAGACATTCGAAAAGGCCTTTCCTTGGTGAAGCGTGCGATTATCGGATAGGATCGCACAACTAACTGTCATTACTCACTAGGAACATGTGGCCAAGCACTTCTTTGCCAGAGCCCTTGGTTTGATCGTGATCCCTTTTGTCGTCTATCTCTCCTTTTTCTGGATACACTTCAAGATTCTTATTCGTTCTGGCACGGGTGATTCCTTCATGAGTCCAGCGTTTCAAGAAACGCTACAAAATAACGAGATGCTCCTCAACAGTCAAGGTATGTTCTCATCGTTTTGAAGCTTCCCAATCATACTCAATCATATCCCAGAGATTCGTTATTACGACACAGTCGCAATACGTCACAAAGACTCTAAGGTCTATCTGCATTCACATGTGGAGCGATACCCATTGCGTTACGATGACGGCCGAATCAGCAGCCAAGGTACTGTCGGCACTGAAGTCCTCAATGACGACATTATTGATTTGATCTGCGTTGAATTCAACAGGCCAACAGGTTACTGGTTATCCTTTCAATGATACAAACAACTTCTGGCAAATTGTCCCGACGAAGTCGTTGCCTCCTACTGGGCGGGGTCGCATTGTTCGCCACAAAGATGTGATCCAACTATTGCACGTGAACACTGATTCTAACCTCCTCACCCACGATGTTGCGTCACCCTTGATGCCCACGAATCAAGAGTTCACTACATGGCCTGCGAATGATACCACTCGATACGATGACACTCTTTTCGAGGTCAACATCCTCGAAGCTCACGATGGGGAACCGTGGAAGACCAAGTCGGGCCAATTTAGACTTGTTCATGTTCCGACTCGCGTGTCTATGTGGACTCATTCGCAACCCCTCCCCGACTGGGCTTTCAAGCAGCAAGAGATAAACGGGAATAAAAACGCGCAGGACAGAACAGCTACATGGTTTGTGGATGAGATTGTAAGTGACGAAAGTGAGCGTGATCTGTCGTGTCTTTTTTTCCCCGTGACTCATCTATGGTACAGCCGGGAATGATATAAGAAATCGAACGGGTACCGTGGAAGACAAACCGGTGAAACGCCTGAATTTCTTCCGAAAATTCTTCGAACTGCAGATGTTGATGTTGCAACATAACGCTGGTTTAACAGCCTCCCACCCTTATGCCAGTGGACCTATCAATTGGCCTTTCCTCATCAGTGGTATCAGTTTCTGGACGCATAATGATACACAAAGACAGATCTATATGATTGGAAACATCATTGGTTGGTGGACATGCGTCATGGCTCTCTCGATTTATGTCGGGATTATTGGCGCAGATCTGCTCGCGCGGAGGCGGGGAGTGTATCCTATCCCAGATCGTGCGTCGCTTCAACATGTTCCCTATTTTGGCCTCTGATTCTCTTAAAGCTCTGCGAAATCGGCTATGGAACTCCACCGGATTGTTCTTTGCAGCGTGGGCATACCACTATTTCCCGTTCTTCTTGATGAGCCGTCAGCTATTCATCCACCATTATCTACCGGCCCATCTGGCATCAGCGTTGCTTGCCGGTGGCGTTTTCAACTTCATCGTGTCCGAGACGATCAACTATCCTATTTCTGTTGCTGGTCCAAGCACGCGTCTGCGACCAAAGACCCATGCAGAGCTTGGACTGCGGTCTTTCATCGCTGTTGGAGTTTTTGTCTCAGCTCTCATTGCAATGTTTATCTTCCTCTCCCCACTTACCTACGGTACTCCAGGGTATGTCACAATACTTGACCTTGGCCAGATGTGCTCAACGAGCTAATGTCTTGCGCAGACTGGATGGGAATCAAGTGAATCGCAGGAGACTACTGTCGACCTGGACCTTACACTTCGCAGGAAAATGAATGGATGCCAACGAGCTGCTGGTAATTCACTGACGATGCTTTGTCATATCCTTGCTATATTTCACTCCTCTCAGACCACGGCAACCGATATCCATCCCAATTCTAGTTAGTTCATCAATGATCGGCACATTTTTGCATTCGTCATTTTGCTTGTACTATTCTTGGGACATGTGCCCTTACCCGTGCCCCTCTATATCAAGCACTTTGGAAGACAGGCCCCTCTGTACCGTGATCACACAAATTCCTACACAAATACAGCATAAGAGACACGGCATGGCAGACGAGAGTCGGTAAATTCCATCGCTGTCATACCACATATGACCTAACCTTGGAAAAGTAGAAAGGTCTTTCCCGTTTGATTGGGAGCTCTTGCACTTCACCCGTGGCAACATTCACCGATGCGTACCACTGCATCTCTGACTTGTTCCACCTGAGGTCACAGTAAGAACATGCAGGACATGAACAACAACTTCGACTTGCCTCATGTTCCGCGAGCTCGTTATTGTCAAATCCATTGCAAACTCATACTTCAGAGCACCTCTTCCGCCCGGGTCTGCGGCCCTCAAGTGACGGATTCGTAATCGACTTTGGGAATCCTCCAGGGACCATGTACCTAGTTGAGATCCTTTCACGCGAATTTCCGGTTTCAGCAGATGAACGATATCCGCTAGTGGTTTCTCCTCATTGGTCAAGAGGGACACTACAGTGCCATCGGGATAGAAACGCAGTAAACGGTGATATGTGATCAGGTGCCGGATCTCACAAAAAGATGAGACAATCTGGCTCCAGCCCACTGCGAAGACATACCGCTACCCAGGCATTCTCGCTTTGACCAGGACGGCTGCTTCAGCATTAGTGAAGAAAATGAAAGTACACGCGCCATACTCACATATAATGACACACAGCGATGTAGCAGCCATCAACACGCACTCGCTAGGTCACTCGTGAGCTGCGTTATGGCGGTATACAATCCGATCAACGAACCGGATGATGTATAAAGGTATGCCGGTAATTGTACCCGTAAAGGGACGCAATCTTGGTCGCCGAGAGATCCTCTTTGATTTGCGGAGGGATATAGGTGTATTCGCAGATAAATCTGGAGTGTACTTAATGGGGTGTCCTTTAGTTGATCCGAAAGGACACACCTCCATATCGAGCTGTCAGCTGCCAAAAGTCTGCCTTTCAAGCTAATTGTGGCAAACCGCTCAACGGTGGTGATATCCCTGTCACACGCCAGTAGCATTAGAATGTGAAGGATTAGTTCGTCCGGGAGCCTTCGCAATGGGCAAGGCAGATGTTCATCCTCGGGTGCGAAAATGATAGGACGTGGTTCGAAGGAAGAGATGATGTGCGGCAAAGATGATATCGATCGACTGGTATGCGGAGAGCTGTTCAAGATAGGTCGCTTCGCAGATGATAAGTTATCTTGGGTCTGCTTGGAGGTAGATTGTTGTTGAGAGATCGACCGAGACTGCAAGGATTGTCTTGCTACCAAGCGATGGTAGGCCTTGTCGACGTTGCTATCCAGCTTGAAGCTTCGGCGATATAGTACCAGTGCCTCGTCTAGGTTTCCCTGCTGTTCGCACTCTAAAGCCTCATGATAAAGGTCGATGGCCCAACGAGTAGAGGGAAGTGTTGAAGCGCCCTCGTGAGACGCACGTGCGGCAGGCTGTGGTTTTGTCGTCAGTCTCTGTAATGCCAAATCTAACTGTGCTGATGATGTTGACGGGCCCCAATAGACTTGGTCATGTAGTTGGTCTGCATTCCCTGACAATTGGCTGATGGGCGGCAGGACCGTGGACGCTAATGTGCTCTTCTTCTGAAGCACTTCTGCTCTCCATGCCACCCGAAACCTCTCCAGCTCATCCTCCCGCGTGAGAACATCTACAGGGGCCACCGGAGCAGGATGCTCTGCAGTGTCCACGTCAACCATAGATCGAAGGAAGTGTTTTTAGTGATGCTCAGAGATGGTCGAGGACGGAAGCACCAGAGAAAGCGACAGTGAGTTGGAAGCATTCTAACACTTGCTGAGCTGAGCCACGTTACATACGGACCCTTTCATCGCCGTGACGAAGTTCATTCTTCATTAATCTTGGTCATACCGCCCCTTTTGTTGACTATTACTGCTGCCATTCTGGTTCATCTCAAGAGTTGGGGATGGATAGCAACAAGGACGAAGCTCTCAAATGCTTGCGTGTAGCGCAGCGTCACAGAGAGAATGGAAACTACTCTGCTGCGGCTCGCTTTTGTCAGAAGTCTATCGCCCTCTTCTCTACACCTGAGGCTGTTGAACTGGCAGCAATCGTAGAGAAGGAAGCAGCTGCCGGGAAAGACTCAAGTGAGAAAACGCCCCAAGGAACATCAACCGGTACCGAACCACATCCTAGCTCAGCCAGCACCAAACATCGGGGTCATGGGTCCCCTCCAGTTAACGGTGATGGCTCGACCGACCAAAAACGTGATTATACGACGGAGATGGTTGCCGTAGTCAAACGTGTGCGAAGTTGTAAAGCCACGGAATATTACGAAATACTGTCTGTATCTCGAGATTGTGAAGAAAACGATGTGAAGAAGGCCTATCGCAAGGTGCGCCTGTCAGAGTATCCCTTCCATGCCCGGCCTCATGATACGCCTCATGCAGCTTGCATTGCAACTTCACCCGGATAAAAACGGTGCACCTGGAGCTGACGAAGCCTTCAAGAGTATGCTGTCTCGCATCGGACAGTCTTCATAGGCTAACTAATGTTTCTGCAGTGGTTTCGAAAGCGTTTCAAATTCTGTCCGACCCACAGAAACGAGCAGCGTTCGATCAACACGGCGCTGATCCCGATTCAAGGTTCAGCGGAATGTCTAATAGACGATCCGATTTTTCGAATCCATCTACCCGTTTCGAAGGCTTCGATTCGGAAATCAGCCCAGAAGATCTCTTCAACATGTTTTTTGGTGGCTCTGGCGGTCCACAATTTGCGACTACGGGATTTGGCCCTGGCACAGGTGAGTCCACAATGCCACTTGGACGACGACCCTTCTCATCAATCCTCAGGTTTCACGTTCCAATTTGGCGGTCCTGGCGGGGTACAGTTCACCTCGGCCAGAGGACGCCCTCGTGGCCAGGCTGCGGCTCCCCAGAACGCTGGGGCTACATTCAAGCAACTGCTGCCACTTATCATTGTCGTCTTGTTTTCCCTTTTAACATCTCTTCCATCTCTATTGAACTCCTTCAAAACCCCTTCTCCTTCCTTCTCCTTCCAGCCAACTCCCTACTTCGATCAGCAGCGTTATACGCTGCCACGGAATATTGCATATTATGTCAACACCAAACAATTCACCAAGCATCCTATCTGGGAATCCATCCCAACCGAGTCTCGCCAGGAACTCCGGGCTGGAGCTGCATCCAGCAAGTTGAAGACGTTCGAGAACGAGGTGGAGTCGAGCTATGCAGCAGTGCTGCAAAATCAGTGCAGGAGGGAAGAAGATTATCGAGAGCAGCGGATACAAGCAGAGATAGGCTTGTTTGGGATAGGAACAAACTGGCAGGCTGTGGAACGGATACGTGGGGAGAAACTGGCGAGCTGCGAGAAGCTCAGCGAGTTCTTGCAAGCTTCATATTAGAGCGTGTTTGGGTTCGGGATTGTATATTACGAGGATTCTGCTTTACTGCGACAACATGTTGCACGTCAATAATGCTTTAAGCAGTCAAGGCCTGCTTCTCCCTTTCCAACTTCATGTAGTAGTCATCGCGGCGACGCACTGTACGGCCGATATTATCAGCATGGCAGTCAGGTATGGCAAAGAGGAATGAAATCATACCGGCAGGAAGATGAACGCCGTACCTTAATTAGGTCAGAATGGCAACACTGACGACATTTATAATGGCTCACCAGTAACTATATCCCATGGCAAGGCCGAGACCGATAGAACAAGTGATGTCAAGGACCAACCTCTTCCTGAGCTTGCCAACAATAGGCTGCATCTGAAACAGCCAAATTTCGATAAGAGCAAATAAGGAAGGGATAATGAATTCGCCTACAGCTGGGTACTAGTCGATTGTTTGTGGGGGGATAGATGGTGGTGGTTGACCGGAATGAGCGGAGAAGAGGGAAGAGGGTGGGACCAAAACAGGCTGTGAGCGGGTCACATCTCAAGCCCCCGTGTTGCATTTGACTCCGGTGCGTCAATAGGTGCACACGCTCCTCCTGAAGGGCGCTCAACTCTCAACACTCGCTCCTCCTATACGTGTCCTTCAGCAGCGGGTTATCATCTCCCTGCTAGGCAGATATCATAACACCTGAAATATAATACCACACCCGCATCAGAACGGTGTCCCCTCGCAAACACCCACTCTCAACCATCTTCTTCATCCTTACATCATGGACGGGGAGTCCTCTACTTCGGCCACGGCAAACGCAAGCAACTGGCGCTTTGCCCAATGCTTTGGAGATAAGGGCGAAGTAGACGATATCACAGAAGGTGACCACCGTCATCCTCTCTGGAGGCCAACTCCGCTGAACAGAGTCCCAATCTCATATAGCCGACATCATCTCAACCGTGGAATTCGACCACACAGGGGATTATCTGGCTACTGGAGATAAGGGTGGGAGAGTTGTGTTATTTGAGCGGAATGATAGCGTATGTTTTTTTGGTTCAAGCACTTTTCGCCGCAGGCTAAGTTCTCTATCAGAAGAAAGGCTGCGAGTACAAATTCTACACCGAGTTCCAGTCACACGAGCCCGAATTCGACTATTTGAAGTCTCTTGAAATTGAAGAGAAAATCAACCGAATAAAGTGGTGCAAGCGACAGAATGCTGCACATTTCCTTCTGTCAACGAATGGTAAGAAGTCGTCCCAGGGTTCCCTTCAAGGTGTATACTGAGGCTATGACAGACAAGACAATCAAGCTATGGAAGGTCTTCGAGAAAACTCTGAAAGTCGTATCGGAAAACAACATGAATGACGGAACACGCCCGGTTGCCCCTCCCACAATGGCAACAAATCTCCGCTTGCCTCGAATGATGCAGCACGATTCCATTGTCGCCGCTGTACCCCGCAAAGTCTATGCTAATGCACATGCATACCATATCAACTCCATCTCGATCAACTCAGATGGAGAGACGTACATCTCAGCAGATGACTTACGTGTCAACCTTTGGAATCTCAATATCAGCGACCAAAGTTTCAGTATGTTGCCTGTTTGTTACTCAATCCGAATGTGCGACCCTTACAGCTGTGTATAGACATTGTGGATATCAAGCCTGCTAATATGGAGGAACTCACAGAGGTTATCACTGCGGCTGAGTTTCACCCTATTCATTGCAACCTGTTCATGTACTCCAGCTCCAAAGGAACGATCAAGCTTGCAGACATGAGGGAATCGGCATTGTGTGATCGACACGCCAAACGTAAGCCCATTCTAAATGGGTTTCCATTTCATGAAAAGTCACTGAATTTGGGAAAGTGTTCGAAGAGGAAGAGGATCCTTCTAATCGCTCATTCTTTTCTGAGATAATCTCCTCGATATCCGACGTGAAGTTCAGCCGAGACGGGAGATATATCCTGTCGCGTGATTATCTCTCGTTGAAGATTTGGGATGTCAACATGGATCGGGGACCCGTCAAGACCATCCAGATTCATGACCATCTCCGAGGCAAGCTTTGCGACTTGTACGAGAACGATTGTATATTCGACAAGTTCGAGTGCACGTGGAGCGGTGACGGCCAGTGAGTCTTTTGCACACTACATACCCATGTCGCGCTAATGTTCTTCAGGAGCGTTCTTACAGGCTCATATCAAAATTACTTCCACATCTACGATGTCAACACCACCAATGATATTGTACTCCAAGCAGATAAATCTGCTTTCAAAGCGAAGAAGATCGGTGCGGGGGCAAAACCAGGTATGAAAAATGGTGCAAAGCCAGGGGCCAAGGACTCCATTAATCTGGATGCTATGGACTTCAACAAAAAGATCCTGCATGGGAGCTGGCATCCACGGGAAAACACGATAGCAGTATGTGACATGATTGCCCCGCAGATGGGGTCAACGAACTAAATCGTTTGTCAGATTGCGGCAACCAACAACCTGTTCATCTTTGCAGTAGATCGATGAGAGGTTACGAATACCACTTGGTTATCTCTTCTGCGCCTATAGTTAGATCAACAGCACGTGTGAACCTTCTGGCATCTCTTGATTCCTGTGGCCGTGTGTGGCTACGCCCGTGTATTGTGACAATGAAACCAATTGAGGGATGTGGACCGATGCAGTTTACACTACACTTGAAGTTTAAACGTTTCATACAAAACTCTTCATAACACCGTATGGACCATCATAACATTGCATGGGAACTTAGATACAAAGGTAGAAAGTCATGCATGCAGAAACATGAGGCAACCAGTATAGTATAGTCGATGAATAATGGGCGGGTCTGTCATGCCTGAGCCAAGTCACGTAGCCGGCGTACAGTGCTATTGTTCAAAGTCAGAAAAATTCATCACTGGAAGTGAGACTGTGCGTACCTCCTCACAGTTGCAGCAGCAGTTGTGGACACAGTCCATGCACCTCCCGCCGTGACCTTCTTGCAGGCACGGCACTTCCAGATGCCGACAGCTGTCCTCTTGACAGAGTCCTAAGAAGGAACTCAGCGCGCCGTCCAAAGGGAGAAAACATACGATCATACCTTGCCGCAAAATGTGCAAGTGTACCGGGCATGCTGCTGGATCTCCATCTACATACTGGCGTGAGGATATGAAAGGATATGCAACGATGTTTCAAGGTACCTTCTTCACCTGCTTGCGCAGTGAGGCACCATAACGCTTTTGCCTCGGTTAGAAATGCACACTTTGCGCAATGTTAGTTACTCACGGTGCCGTACTTTCCGGTGACGCCAACCTTCTTGGTGCGCTTGGTCTACACAAGATTGTCAGCCATGATACTAGACACAATCTACGATACAATTCTTACCATTTTTTTGAATGCCGAATGGTCTGCCTGAGAACGTCTGGAAGAGGGTAGGGATGAGGGTCGCCGCGCCTTTCGACGAGGTAAAACTGTACAGTACTTGTTTACGGCACTGCCACATGTCACCCCTTTACAGCGTCCTGGCTCGGTTTTGTTTATTGACAGGGATGCAACGTACTTAATTCGCGTGTATTATGCATCTTCTTAGGAGATCTCCGCCTATGTTGAGCCTCTTATAGTATCTCTGTTTCAAAGCTGGTTCTGAGAGTTGGTCCCATGTGAGTGATTCCGCGAGGTGTTGTCAATTGGAAGGAAATACGTCTGATAACTGTACCTTTGAGGGCGACGGAGGAGTGGAGGGTAATCAATGCTCTCGAAGTTGTGTATCATCTCTCATAAGACATTAGTTAACGTTAATGCTTTCATTCCGGTTTTTGCTTGGTGCATTTAGGGCAGGCTTCGGCCGAGGTGAACGTGCCCCTTCGCGGGATGACGACCCATCCCGTTTTGAGTCCGTTCCGAGTTGCTCCCTTCTTTCGACTGCACGTCCCCATTCTCTCCTTGCTCTCTGTTACCCCCATTAACACCGGTTCCCCTCCTCCTTCTCTCTCTCCTCCGTCGCTATGCACTCCCTCGCCCTCAGGAGGGCGTCCGTCGCCGTTAGGGCGGCCACTCCTTTTGTACGCGTTCCTTCTAGACTTAGATACCGGCACATCCTGACTTGCGTATCAGATTCGCAGCTATGCCACCGCGAAGCCTGGTAAGTAACGTATCCCTCGCATATTCTGACCCCATAATAACTTGGACTTGTAAAGCTGCCTCTGAGGTGTCTTCTATCCTCGAGTCCCGCATCGGGGGTGCCTCTTTCGGTGGAGATGTGCAGGAGACTGGTCGTGTCCTGAGTGGGTCACACAGAGAGCCGCATGCTGGGTTCAGTGGGGTATTGACGTATTCTCTAGCCATCGGTGACGGTATCGCTCGTGTTTATGGCTTGCGCAACGTTCAAGCTGGTGAGAAGCTTCCCACGTAGGATCGATCTCAATGTCACTCATCGTCTGACAGAGGAGATGGTGGAATTCTCATCTGGTGTTCGTGGCATGTGTCTCAACCTCGAACCTGACAACGTCGGTGTTTCCGTCTTCGGTAATGATCGTGCCATTCGAGAGGGCGATACGGTCAAGCGTACAGGACAAATCGTTGATGTTCCCGTCGGGCTGGAGATGTTGGGCCGTGTGGTAGATGCACTGGGCAACCCTATCGATGGAAAGGGCCCTATCCAAGCGAAAGAGCGCCGCCGTGCGTCGCTCAAGGCTCCTGGTATCTTGCCGCGCCGCTCCGTCAACCAACCCATGGCTACTGGCTTGAAGCCCATTGACGCCATGGTCCCCATTGGTCGTGGTCAGCGTGAGCTGATTATCGGCGATCGTCAAACTGGGAAAACTGCTGTGGCGCTGGACACCATTTTGAACCAAAAGCGCTGGAACGATGGTAATGACGAGAAGCAGAAGCTGTACTGCGTTTACGTTGCTGTCGGACAGAAGCGTTCTACTGTGGCGCAACTCGTACAGACTCTCGAAGAAAACGATGCCCTCAAATACTGCATCATCGTTGCTGCTACGGCGTCGGAGGCGGCTCCTCTGCAGTACTTGGCACCGTTCTCTGGATGTGCGATGGGCGAATACTTCCGTGACAACGGCAAGCATGCTCTGGTTGTCTACGACGATTTGTCGAAGCAAGCTGTGGCGTATCGTCAAATGTCCCTACTCCTTCGTCGTCCTCCAGGACGCGAAGCTTACCCTGGTGATGTCTTCTATCTTCACTCCCGACTGCTGGAACGTGCTGCCAAAATGAACGACAAGTTCGGTGGCGGGTCTCTTACTGCTCTGCCCATCATCGAAACCCAGGGTGGTGATGTATCCGCTTACATTCCTGTGGGAACCCGATTACTTCCGATGCCTTGCTGTACTGACCCGCTTTTATCAGACTAACGTTATCTCCATCACGGACGGTCAAATTTTCCTGGAGTCAGAGCTGTTCTTCAAGGGAGTTCGTCCCGCCATCAATGTCGGCTTGTCCGTGTCTCGCGTCGGTTCCGCTGCCCAGACGTAAGTATGCACGTTTCGCGGTGCCGATGTATTCCTGAACGCTGTCGTAGGAAGATCATGAAGAAATATGCGGGCTCTCTGAAGCTTTACCTCGCTCAATATCGTGAAGTCGCTGCCTTCGCACAGTTCGGCTCGGACCTCGATGCCTCTACTCGCTTCCTGCTTAGCCGTGGTTCTCGTCTGACGGAGCTGCTCAAGCAAGGGCAGTACCAGCCTCTGGCCACTGAAGTCCAGGTTCCTATCATTTATGCTGGTGTTAACGGTCTCGTACGTGCCACTTCGCAACAGCGGATATCATGATTGACCTATCTCCAGCTGGACAACGTCCCGGTCGACAAGATCACCCAGTGGGAGACTGAGTTCCGCGAACATCTCGCTACTAGTCAGGGCCCCCTGTTAGAAGAGATAGCAAAGGGTGCCGCCAGCGATGAACTGGAGGCCAAGATCAAGAAGGTAAGATACAATGTGCCCGATGTTCTATTACCATTCTCATGACGCCTCTTAGGTTGTCACCGACCACGTGTCGGCTTTCATCAATGCCTGAGGCGTCGTAAACGTTGTGTTTGCAACTTAAAATTCTCTACCTCGTGCCCCAAAATCCCATCGTATTATATATCCTTGTGGTGTTCCCAAATCGAGAGTAGCCAATTAAATGCCAACCACCGATAGGCACAGGTGGTAACACTAACAAATGCGGAGTGTGCAATTGCCGAACGTTGATTAGGAGAGCCGCTCTGTAGATCATGTGAATAGAGTGCATTCAACCGGCAACACCCTTAATCGCGGGGGGGGGAGCGGAGAGGCCTCGTCACCGCCCTCCAAGGTCATCAGCACACGGTGCACACGACACCAATCTCTTCTGGACCGTCATGTTCACACGCGTATGTGCTCGACCTATATCCTCATTCCAAGCCAGATCGTTTTCTCTGTCGATTGCACGCCATGTGAAGGCCATAGTATACTCTCGCAATGGCGAACCTACCGATGTGCTCTCCGTCCGGACCCTTCCTGAACTGCCAGCACCCACTGGCGATCAAGTCAAGTTACGGTTCAGCCTCAGCCCCGTCAATCCTGCGGACCTGAACGTCATACAAGGCGCCTACCCTTCCAAACCCAAGCCTAGAGAAGACCTGGGAACGTCTGAACCGACTTTTGTAGCTGGCAATGAAGGGTTGGCTGTGGTGGAAGAGGTCGGGGACGCGGTCTCTGCCTTCTCAAAGGGAGATTGGGTTATTTTTAGCACTCCTCAGTTCGGGACTTGGACAAGTGAAACCTTGGCCAAGCAAAGCGATATTATATGCGTGCCGCGATCGACTAATTCGATCCTTACCGAAGTACAAGCAGCAACATTGACGGTACATCTCTCTTGAATACTAGCTGACGTAGCTATGTTAATGGCATCCTAGGTGAATCCACCCACAGCACTCGCCCTCTTGACGCGATTCGTCGATCTTGAACCGGGGGAGTTCGTTATTCAGAATGGGGGAAACAGCTCCGTCGGCCAGGCCGTCATCCAGATTGCGCATCAGCGTGGATTGAAGACTATCAATTTGGTTCGCGACAGGTACGTTCTATTGAATGCTAAGTAGGCCGCACTTTAACGGGTCGCCTCAGGGAACAAATAGAACAATTGAGGGAGCAGCTGAGATCTCTTGGCGCAGACTATGTCATGACATACAACGAACTTGGAGAACAGTCGGCCAGGAATACAGTAAGGGAATGGACGGAGGGCAAGGTAATTCACCGGACACATACCCGGGTCCTGGTAATGAGTTGAAATTTGTAGCCTATCCGCCTGGGGTTAAATTGCGTGGGAGGAAAGGATACCACATTAATGGCACGTTTCTTGGGGTGAGTTGGTCCATGCTGCATTCTATCAACCCTCATCCCCTTTACAGACAAGATGCGCATCTTGTCTCTTACGGGGCCATGTCGAAGGCACCACTTTCCCTTCCAACGTCGTTGTTCATATTCAAGAATCTTACGTGCCACGGGTATTGGCAGTCGCGCTGGTATCTCCAGCACAGCGCAGAGGAACGGCAACAACTGATTGAGGAGCTTGTCCAAATGATGGAGAGTGGCATTGTATGTGATGCATCCAGGTGCTTTGTCAAGGACTGATACCAGGTCAAACAGCTCAAAGAGTCATCGCACGAAATCGTCACCCTCCACGGAAGTGATCAAGAGATGGAGCATGTGGTTAAGGAGGCGATAGCGACGAGTGCTACTGGGAGGCATAGTAAAATACTGTTCCGTTTCGTGGATAACTGAAATGATCGATGATGCCCAAATGATCACATGATTTGCCTATACATTGCTCTGGCTCTCTATCGAATTTTCTTCTCCTCAAAGAATTTCTAGAATACGATGTCAACAAACACATCAGTATTCGCCAGGGGTGGTTGACATACCCGCAAATGCCGCAGCTGCCACGCGCAGGTCACGAATAGCACAACCATCTGCGCAACGCAGTACCATACAGCACGCGAGTTTACTTCCTCGCTCAAGTCTCGAAAAGCGGACTCTCTCTCCCGCTGAAACTGCTGCTCTCTTCTAATATCCTGCAGTTTGAAGTTGAGATCTCGGATACGTTGTGCCAAATCCGAAATGTGTGAGCGGTCGTGCTCTGTATCGCGGCGCGTGGCACCGACAGCAAGGTCAAGATACATTCGAATGTGGTGTCGAGTGGATAACCAGTTGGATGTATAATTGGAAGACAGGCAGATTGAGTGATCCCCGGCATCATGTGATGAGAAAGTGAATTTTCCCTCTGGTGGGCCTCTTGTTTTAACTACTGACTGTCCAGTGGATAGTTCCTAGGCAAGGCAGTTAGAACGAAGCCGGCATCATGGTAATCTATTGAATGACACACATCCACGTCGACTTGAATCCCTAGCTCAGAGTTTATCTCATATGATTGAGAGGATTCGGACCATTCTTGTGCACGGTAATGACCTTATGAAAGAGATCAGGCGGCTGCTATTTGGGTCGAGGGGCTTCACTTGCCTTCCACCACTGTGTCAGTAGGCAGTTCCTCGATGAAGCACCTTTTTTCAGTGGAGTCCAGGTAGAAGTGGATAGCATATGTCGTCAAGACATATGGCAACACCAAGACAACAACTCGAGACAGCCTGACCATGACAATGAGTGGTTGAAGCTGGTACCAGGTACGTATGAGGAGGACTTCCAAGTTGGGGTAACCTGCTGAACGCCACTCCGCCGACCCTTCCTACTAGGGGCCTTTTCCTCGCCACTCCGGCACTCTGTAACGAGACAGTACTTGTTCCTAACAAATAACATGCCGCCAACCCGATTCTCCATATCTGACATTCGCAACAAGCACAAACGCCAGGATGTGTATCGGCGGCGTCTCAAAGAGGGTCGACAAGAAAAACTGAGGCGAAGATTAGAACGGGCCAAAGCGGAGAAGGAGGATCCCGAGCTGAGAAAGGCACGTTTGCACCATGCACACACACCCATGGTCACGCTAACCCACTTTTAGGAGCGTCAATTCAAGAACATCCCAAAGACACTCGATAACATGAGGGAGTATGATCCCTCGATGCTCACCGCCAGTTCGCAAGCCCATCCCCAGTCTTCTACAGCAGCACACGTAGGGAGAGAGATGCATCCAGAGTCTGCACTTGACATCCAGAATGACCCCTTTGCCGCATATTTTTCGTCGGAGAATGATCCAACTCTTGCGCCAAAAGTCCTTGTTACCACCTCTACGAAGGCGACCAATGTGACGTATGAATTTTGCCATGAGCTTTGTGGAATCTTTCCCGGAGCTCAGTTTGTACGACGAAAAAAGGGCCAGGATTTCCAGATAGGAAAGATCGCTGAGTGGTCTGCCAAGAGAGGCTACAGTGCATTATTGGTTGTCAATGAGGATCACAAAGTACCCAGTGCGTAGCTGTGGCAATCTCCCGCAGGGCGATGGGATACTTACATTGCTCATCAGATGCAATCACACTCGTGCATCTTCCAGATGGGCCGTCGGCCTTATTCAAGTTGTCCTCGATACGACTCTCCAAAGACATCATTGTGAGTATTGTCATTCTGAATCGAAGATACACGACCTGAGGGCCGCGACAGGGCCATGGGAGATCATCAGGTCATCATCCTGAGCTCGTCTTGAATGGGTTTGTAACCCGACTAGGACATGCTGTTGGTCGCATGTTTCAAATACTCTTCCCTCCGTTGCCAGAATTCGAAGGCCGACAAGCCGTAACTTTGCACAATCAAAGAGACTTTCTTTTCTTCCGTCGTCATCGGTAAGCCCTATGGTTTGCCTTTCCGGTTACAATTTCTACTCACCTAAATGAACAGCTATGTGTTCAAATCTACAGAGAAGACAGGTTTGCAGGAAATTGGACCTCGCTTTACGCTCAAGTTACGCTGGCTTAAGAAAGGACTCCCTACAGCTAAGGAGTCACAAGCACCGCCTGAGCTACACATTGCAGACGGTGCAGAAGAACAGATAGGATCTGTGGAAATGGCAGGAGAAACAGACTATGACTGGTTGTGGAAGGTACGTGTTGTTCCCCCCTTTTCTCATCCTGCACTGACGTCGAGGTAGCCAAAGATGGAAGTGAACCGACGAACATTCTTCTTGTGAACTCTTCGTCGGACAGACTACATCTACTTCCATCATTGTATTCAGTATCTCCCATGTAGTGCCGTCGATAGGCAACTCTCATCTTGTCCCTAGAAATCTGTGGGTGCTAGAGCAGTCATACTAAATTGCAGACTGTTAGTCGAATTGAGGTACTTGTCTTGGGCGACCTTAGCTACATCCTGTATAATTCATCAACATCTAGAACCCCAAAAAATAGTCTCACTTACAGCTAGCATGTCGGTACAAGGGCCATAGTCCACAGGCGTAGCTCTACGACCATCCAGCTCGAGGAGTCGCATGCCATCCGGATCGGACTGGGATTTGGCCTGAATGAAGCAGATGAAGTGCAAATCGGTCTCCAAGTCCGGCGTGATTACAGAACGACCCGCTTCAGCAGCGGCTTTGTGCATCTGGGCAAACAAATTGGTGTTCTCCAGCAATTCTGCCCTCTCTTGTGGTGTCTTGTCTGGGGAGGGTTAGCCAACGAATGTTCCAAATTGCGTTCCATGCCTTTGCATTGCTTGATGAACTGCTCTAGGGGACTACCCAAAGTGATCCTCACGTCTGGTGCCTTTACAACATGAGTATGCGAGGAATGCATTAGAACCCATCCCTACATTGGCCAGGGCATGGAGCAGGGCAATTGTTCCGCATGCGTTGCTGATCTAACAACATATGAGACTTTGTCCACCGGCGAAAGTGACCGTGACTCACAGTCTGCTTGATAAAAATCACATCGGGATCAATAGGATCGCTGCTCGCTGCAGTACGTTTCGCTTCATCTGCACTACGTGCGTCTTCGACTGCTTGAACATTGGGGAATAGCAAAAGGATCGCCTTGACCGGCCGAGGCACCAGAGCCAGGAGTTCGGAGTCCAGTCCTGTTTAGGATTGTATAAAGTCAGGCCAAGAGAGGTGCAAGAGTCCGTACCATACACATCCTGAAAGGAATGGACACTTGTCTGCAAGCCAAGTTGTTGCGCCCACTGTGTTTAATGGTGGTAGGCCACAGTGATTCGCGGTCGTTTGAAGGACAGGCTCACATCATTCATAATGTCCGGATCGCTCTCCAAGGGGATCCATCGGTTTCCGTCTTGCTTAGGTAGTCCGGTGAAGCTCAGAGAGTCATGAGTAGCTACGGCCATCGCAATGGATCTTGATGTTTGAATTGTTGAGCATCAACAGCGAGACTACCATTGATCGCAGCCCTGACACGTGCACGCTAGTAGCATGCGGATGTATTCTCCGCCATGACTCCTGCCGTGGTCGGGTTCTCCAAATTGGGTCCAATGCACATTCTCTATCATTAGATCTCAGAAAGCGGGCATCTATTCTACAAGGACATGACAGCCACACACTCCAACCTCGATATCACGTAATATGTGCTTAGTTCTTCTCCCCCAGAATAGCGCATCGTCAGTCTGTTCGGGGCGGCGGTTCATAACCCTCCACTTTCATATCGTTGAGGCCCAGATCTTCGTTCTGTTCGAAAGTGCGATCATATGTTATGACTTCCATGTTCGGATCAGGGTCTGGCGCATAGAGGTTTTGCAGGTACGAATTGGCTAGTGGGTCGTCAAGGATCAATGTGAATGGCTGAGCAGCAGTCATAACCTGTGGGGGGCTTAGACACACAATTGAAGAGAAGACAGGGGGACGAACTTCTTTGAGACGTCCTAAGAAAATTTCGAACTCTCTATTGTCGCTGCTGTCCGCTGCACCGACGGAGTCTCCACGGAAAACCTTCTCGTTCAGCTCGTCGTAAACTTGAGTCAGAATGCCCTCAACAGTGGTGAAACGGCCACCCAATGTACCCGCATGGAGTACCAAATCGATCTCCGGTATTTGCAAGCCACATGTTTCGCTCTGAGAAGAACAGTCAGAGTCTTGAAGGTGCGCGTCGCTCTGATGATGGTACCTTGAGAATGTCCCTGCTGAGATCTTCTGCATCCTCCACTTTCAGTGTAATCCGCCTTCCTTTATCAGATATTGCGCCACCTGACTTGACCTCGTTATCTCGGTATCCGCATATGTCACAATTCGTAGACATTATGATGATATCCTGTGCATCAGTCAGCCAAACTAGGCGAACGAAATACAATGGGCGTACTTTGAAGTAAGGAATATTGACTTTCTTCATGCGTGTGTCGACTTGGTGACCGCAAGACGAGCATATGCCAGGGAAAACGAAGACTTCCTCAGCAGGCAATTCGTCTTCATCATCTGGGTTCGGTGGGCCTTCCTTTTGTGTAAGCCTTTCCTGTTCCGCATTCTCCGGTTTAATGAGACCCAAAGAAATGTTTTGCTCTGAAGTGCGAGCATATTCCCTCAAGGTCCATTTTGGATCAGCCATGGAATCTTTAAATTCCAAAAAAGAGCTCCCAGCCGGGTCATCTAGTATCACAGTGAAAGGCTTGATGGGATCTTCCGCTTTGCGCTCCTTCATTGTAGGCGCAGCCTCATCATCATCGTCTGGGACGACTTCCTTCAGCCGCTGCAAGAGACTTTCGATCTTCTCATACGTTGGAGGATCTTGGATGCGACGTAGCGGTTGATCACCGCCCAAGTCTTGCATCGTGTCCCGTAGAATTCCCTCTATTGTTGTAAGTTGTCCACGGTGGGGCGGAATGGTGAGGTCAAATTCAGGGATCATCACGGTCGCCGTCTCGGCCTTGACTAGCTGGCGGTCAAGGTCGCCTTGATTCAGTACCTTGACAGTGTAGACGGTTCCCCGTTCTGATCCATGCATTAGTGTCCCACATCGCATTTGAAAGCACCAAATATACCCCTTATAGTACTCGCGGACTGAATTTCGTTGTTCTGGTTCCCGCAGTGCTCGCATCGAAAGGACATGACAATGACTTCTCGGAAGTATGGAATGGATGTAAGGAGCATGCGTGTTACGCCCTGTTCTCCTTTCAGCTGGTTTGCACCGCAGCACATCTGCGACGCACCTGCTCTCCACAGCTCATACACAAACTTTCCACCTCTTGCAGTGGTCGATCCTCATCTATTGGTTCGACATCCGGTTCCTTGCTTTCTTGCTCATCTGTCGTTTCAGCCAGTGCCTCGGTCTCTTCGGCAGCCGATCGGATAGGTTTGAAGAACGGGTCCTGAGATTTGGTGGGCATAAGTATTAATGTAGGTCACGAGTGTTTGCGCCGGCGAAGTCTGTAGGAAATTCTGGGCAAACACGCTGTGCGTCATCATGACTAAGCTGAAATAGATTATGTGATCTTTACTCCCGCTCTTGATCCCCGTGGCGTAATTCTGTCCCTCTGGAAGACACCATCACGACCACCCACGACCGTAAGTGCACCGTGCACGGTCCTTTGTTATTTACTTCTATTCCATCTCCTGTCATCCAGCCGGACTCCATCTCTCCCAGGGCCTTGATTTGTTATATAGCAAATTTATGTTGTCATTGCTGTCTTGATCCACAAGCCCTTCTCTTATTATCGTCCCGATCGTCGTCCTCCCACCCTCTCATCCTTGTTATTTCTCTCGTCCTCAGCCGACAGCCCCATTATCATGGCATCATCGGTATACTATAAGTTCAAATCTCAGCGGGATGAATCCCGGATTACTTTCGATGGCACCGGTATATCCGTCTTTGACCTCAAGCGAGAGATCATGGTTGCGAATAAGATGGGAACCGGTAACGACTTTGATCTGGGAGTGTATGATCCAAAGTCAGACAAAGGTGCGTTTGAGCAAATCTTGATCTGATTGCTTGTATTTACATACCAAAGAATACAACGATGAGGATATTGTTCCACGTTCAAGCTCAGTCGTTGTGCGCCGACAGCCGCCTTCTAAATCTGGCAGAGGCAAAGCGCAGATTTATGTCGCAAACTTGCAAACAGCCACACCGACTCCGGATCCACGCGCCGAAGGTGCGAGGGCACCTGTGAAGCCGCTGCCAAGTTGGAAGCCTGGTCAGGGCTCCATCAGTCAGCGCTTCGACGGTAAAGAGCCATCGAAAGGTGGTGAAAAGCAGGAAGAAAATGCAGAAGACAATCTAGCGTCTACGACTCTGGACGATGAAGAACAGGCGGCGATTGCAGCGATGTTTCAAGCTACCTCTGAGCAGTGGCAGCAGACTCAGGAAAAGATGGCTCAGTTCGTCGTCTTGGTGTATCTAGTCCACAGTTAGACTAATATTTCTCCTAGGGCCACACCGATTCATAATAGCCGTGGGCGGGGAGGATTCAAGGGCGGTCGACCGTATCAGCACCATCAGGCCCATGAGCAACCCTCCCGACCTCCCCCGCTCGGTTACACATGTTATCGTTGTGGACAGAAAGGTCATTGGATTCAAGAGTGCCCCACAAACGGCGACCAGGACTTCGACAATCGGCCGCGAATCAAGCGGACAACCGGTATCCCTCGCAGCTTTCTCAAAGCCGTCGAAAATCCAATTGCGACCGGCAACAACATGCCAGGCGTCATGGTCACACCCGACGGAGGTTATGTGATTGCGCAGGCTGACTCGTAAGGATCTTTTCAAAATGTGCGAGGCTGGAAGTTAACAGTTTATGCAGCGCCACGTGGGAAAAGCAGCGAGCCAAGGCCAAAGCAATCTCCGAGAACGATATCAGAGAGAGGCCAGTCACAGATCCGACTTTTGCATGCCCCGTCTGTTCCAAGCTGTTCAGAGAAGCCACAAGGACACCATGTTGTGGTGCGACGTATTGCGAGGAATGCATCCAAACGCATCTTCTTGAGCATGACTTCGTGTGCCCGAGCTGCAGCAAGCGCATCGGTTCCCTGGACAGATTGGAGCCGGACTCGGAGATGAGGCGAAAAGTAAAACAGTATATCTACAAAGCAATGGAAGAAGCGAAGGAAGAGGACGATGAAAGTTCCAAGGGCCCTCTCGGAGATCTGGGCAAGGTGAGTCATGGCGAATTGCACATGGCAGCGTGCTGACAGAGACGATACAGGTTCCCACGCCGGACGAGAGCATCAATAAGAATGCGCCGAGACCTGACTATTCAGCTCAGATTGCGACTCTTCAAGACTCGATCAAACAAATGACTGCGTTGCTGAGCAAGCCGAATATGAACATGCAGGATCGACAGCGGTTGCAAATCCGATTGCAGCAGACAAATGAACAGCTGGCTCAAATACAGATGATGACTGCGATGTATGAAATGAGCAACGCTGCTGGGGTGGAAGGTATGGAAATGAACGGGATGAACATGGGGATGAACGTGGGGATGAATGGGTTCATGGGATGGCAAGGCAATTATGGACAAGAATTCGGAATGTTTCCGAACCACGATATGGGTATTCAACAGGGAGCCAACTTTGTTCAGCAGCAGGGTCAGCTCCGGGGACAGAAGCGTGGTAGACCACAGGACTTTGTACAGGTCGATCAGAGATCAGAAAAGATGGGTCGGTATTACTGAGCAGTCCTAAAGAGATGTTCAGGCTGAAGCTAGTGTGCTTCATTATTAAACTTCCGCTCAGACTACTTCGAAGCTTCTCATGTACACTCGTAGTTAAGCTAGGAATGATATGCACGGAAAGCCACGACTTCTGACTCAAGGTCGGATTCCCTGCTGTGATCCATTCGTGCTAATGTTTGTTCCGACTCGCTTGAGTAGGACGCCTTGATAATGCTCCCAAGCAGTTATCAGCTGGGACAATAGTCAGATGACGAGTCGTCGGATAAAGAGCCTTTTCGACTGGCCTCCTTCTGTCGGTGAATCATATTCTCTAAGAACATCTCCAACGAATCCTTGAAATCCTCAATTCTTTCCTGCTCAAAACGAGCGATTTCGGACTTGACGAGTTTGGTTACAGATTCAAACTCAGTTTTGGAGTCAAGAGCACGCCTTTCGGCCTATAATTCTTCGTAAGCATCGTCCGTGGCCGAAACAACTGCATCAAAACAGACCGCACTAAGCTGAGCAAGAGACACCCCCGTCGTGTCAGAGGGCAGCTTCCCCTGCCGCTTTGCCTTTTCATGTCCCGCACGCACTTTCCGCACATCAGCTTCGGCGTTCTGCCAGGTTAGATAGACTCGTTCCCGTGACATAAATGCGAGGCGAATGGAGCCGATCAGGCGGGTGTACTCGTCGACTGCCAAGATGCATTCAGTATATTGAAGCGGACAGAAACAGGACAGGAGACTTACTTCCAGCAAGGAAAGTCATAATATCGTCTTTTGCTTGGCTCTCCTGAAGGTCTTTCACTCGGCTCTCGACTTCTCTAAGCATGCTAACGCTATGCGAGAGCTGCTTGCTCAGGCCGGACTGGGCAAGCTCTGCCACGGCTTGGGACAGTTCGTTAGCAGCGGTAACCACATCTTCAGGACGATGTTCAAAATTTATTTGGTATCAGCGGCAAGTTCACGCACCAGCTCTCTGCTTCGAAACTGCCTCAATCGCCTTGATTAGCCCCCTGAACTGAGATTCCAGGGCATCAAGATATATCTTCCTGTTCTCAAACCACTGACTCTCGATTAGAACATGAAAGACGTAGCAGGGAAGTCAGTACGTACGTCATCATTCTCGATGAACTTGGGACCAGTCAGCGTACTCCCAATAGTGGCCATCAATCCGGGCGTGCTAGCCGACGGATTGACGCCGACTTCCGTCTTCCTGTGCTTGATCTATCATCACGTATCAGTGACCACGCCCTCTAGCAAGATCAACACCACTCACATCCATTGCAAACGAATCTGACTCTAAGAATAGTTTCAAAGCAGGGTCGGTGTATAACAGAGGATGATCCACAATTTTCTGGATGCACTTATTGAGTGCCTGTCTCCTCGTCTCCACGAACGTCTCCTCGAAGCGGCCAAAGGAATGCTTCTCCGGCACAGGGGGGACGATGACGCCGGGGTTGCTCAGGCAGAGAGCGTCGCACAGCCAGAGAAAGTCAGAATACCGTCGAAGGACAGAGAAGGACACTTTGCGGAAAAGATTGGGGGAGCTTGTCTACAATTGCCGTTAGTGTTCAGGTTGATGAGAAGGATGGGAAAGATGTACAGTCGTATGGACGGTGTATACGATATGGGCATTGATGGGATCGCCAACCTTCTGTGGATCGCCAACAGTGACATTGATACTGGGCCTATCCGGGTCCACTCGTCGTTTCATTCCCCTGGGTACCGGAGCCTATCAACATAATCAGTCCCAAGGCACTCCCGGTTCCCGTATTGACAATACATACCTGAACGGCCTCCACCTCTTCCTCCGTCTCCGTGACATCTGTGGCTGCTTGTGCATGTCTATCGCCGAGCATCTCACCCTCTCCCGGGGTCAACCAACCCCCCGGCGTTATCGCCGGGCTCGTAACGCTAACACCATGCCACCCCGCGTCCTCCGCTCCAGGCATGGTAAGGTCGCTCAAGGTCCGATCTGCTACACGCTTATACTGCGTCTCTAGTGGAGACAAGAATGCTGGCTCTGGAGATGGACCGAGGCCGGGATGCTGGGTCCATGTGTGGGAAGAGGGGGAGAGGGGCTCCGCAATTGTCTGCATCGGTTGGGAGGGGTGGGGCGCCGGGGGGCTCGCAACGCGTGTCGGGGTTTGAACGAGAGGAGAGGGGATCTCCGATGGGGGAAGAGGGGTGCGGAGGGCGGTGAGTAGCTCTGGAGGAGGGGAGACCGATGCGGCGACTGCTGGAACTGTGGGCTGAGCCACTGGCTCGGCGACAGCAGCAATGGGTATTGGTTTCGGAGGCTCGGGCTTAGCGGGGACAGGATGTGCAGGAACTGGCTCGGGTTCTGCTGGCGGTAAATTATCGGTTCCAGGCACAACCACAGGCACAGCGGCAGTGGTGGCAGCAGGTCCTTGAGCAGCAGGTACGGGTGCTGCCGGTTCCACTTTGACCGGCGGGACAAGCTGGTTAACTTCTGCTGATTTTGGAGGCACCTTTCTGCTCACTGGCCTTCTTTTTGGCGTGGGTGGAGGCTTGAACTTGGGCCCTGCAAAGGCACCCGAGGGGGAATCGTCCGCGATTCCGAGGCTGTCCAGGAGGTCCGCGGTAGATTTTCTGTCTTGAACGGGTGTGAAGTGGGAAGACGTGGACGCTATCATGGGGTTAGCAGGGGCGAATGGGTTTCCGAATGCCGATGCACCCAGCGGAGAGTCGTATATCGAGTCCGGAAGGCCGGAGATAGATGCCATGGTCGGCAGTGGAGTGGAGTCACTGAGGATAGACGAGGTTGTGACTGGTGTGGGGAAGGAAGGTTCGTAGGGTGATGGTACCGTGGGTACATCGTATGGACGTACTGGCTCTGGAGCGACGAGGACCTGTTCTTCCTGTGTTTGTTCGTCGTATACTTCTCTGAAGGGTGGTGAGAGTGTTGAAGACCTGGGCGGCGGCGGTTGCTCATGTTCCTCATCGATATCGTCGTGTGATTGTACATCTCTTGTTGCAATAGGAGAAGTGTTTGGAGATTCAGAGTGGAATCGTGCGTGCGTGCGAGCGAGCGGCGACGCTGGCTGGGCTGTACCTTGTTGAGTGACGTAGAATGACGCCCATGGATCAGACGTCGGCGATCGTACATCAGCGAATGGGTTATCTCCGTTTGCAAATGGGTTCGACACCGCGTTCCCATGGCTGAATAAATCATCAAACCCGCCTTGTTCCATATTGGTTCGTGATGTGGGAGGAGAGTAGTACTGGTCTAGTGCGTGCATACACGATGGGAAACTCGTGACCCGCAGTCACGGAAGCAACACAACACAGCCACATTACCCGTCATAAAAGGCGAAATTAATTCCTCCGATGACCCCAATTCGGAGGCAAAGTCGCCAGAATGGCCCTCAGCCCTCTGGCACGGCGTTAGGGATACATTTGCACTTCTGAAGTTAAAATAGGGCACGTATGCTAAGAGAACAAAGTTGGGGTCCTGCAAGTCACAGATTGACAAGATTTGACAGAGACCTCTCAGTGATAGGGAAAAAGGAGAGAACAAATAACACCGTCGTCTACTGCGTGCTTGTTACTTTTGTTGTTCACTGTTTCTGTAATTTTGAATTTCGTTAATATATGCACTTTTGGGTGAATGTTATCGCAGGCTTGGGCAGGACCCCTGATTTATGTATTTTCCCAAACACCCTTTTTATTCAGCTTCAGAAGCCAAATGCGTCCCTAACGCCGCTCCAGAGGGGTCATTGAGGGAAATTGAGCCCGGAGGGCCATTTGGGCGATTTTGCCTCCGAATTGGGGTCATCGGAGGAATTAACTCTAAAAGGCGCGTTCAACATCGCCCATTCCATCACTCACGTGAGACATCCCACTATGAGGGCTCATGGAATCCTCCTACAACGACGGCAAACCACCCAGCACACCTTCGATGACAGCGGAATTGAGATAAAGGGGGGCATAGTACCCATGCGATCGGAGGGCGAAGCCGCTACCTACATGAAAGGATTCCCTCACAGAGATGAATGCACCCCCACCTACGTCCCACCGCTCTACGACCTCTGCCTCGACCTCGTCAAGCGCAAACCCGCTCTCTTCGACTCTATCACAGAGGTATTAGCCGCCGACCAGGCTGTACGCTGTATCCGTATGCTGATCAGGGATGCCCAAGACCTGAAATATGTGCGGCCGCTTACATGGCTCGCCTGGGTGAAAGCATATGGTCACGACTTGGGTGAAGAGCTGCTATCATACCCTCTGCTGGCGCTGAGCGACGCCCATATTCTCGATATCTCCCGCGCACCAGAAAGCACATCATTCTGTCTGCTTGTTGACCTCAACCTCGCTGCTTGCAGGAACTTGGACGATGCCAACATCCGCCAACTAGGAGCTCTTGACAATCTCTGCGTGCTGAACACGAGTCAGACGACCATCACCCACGCAGGAGTTCAGGCGCTGTCGCAAGCACTGGTGGTGGATCAGGACGGGACACTGAGAGGGCCATGGCGATTACGGGTTTGGAAGTTGGACCACACCCGAGTCACCCCCATGGCACTAGAGTTTCTCCAAAAGTGGCCTCTCTTGTGTGCTCTCGGTACGTCCCTTTACACCCACTAACAGCTTCGCTCTAACTATCCACAGACCTCACAGCAGATACCATGCGCAAAATGACACCTCCCTCGGGCTGGCATACCCCCAGTCCCGACGAACTCGCCCTCTTCCAGCCTCGTGCAGACCGCTACCTCTCGGCCGTTCAGCCACCCCTCTTCCCCAGCCACCCCACAGTCGTCTCTGTCCAAGAACACTATCCACAGACTGTCCCGCGGATAATCGACCTGACCCCGTGGTATAACATGTTGCGCCCAATGATCGAGGAGCAGGCGCGCTACCGAGCTAGCAGGGAAGTTGCACCCAGGTTCAACAACATGTTGCCCGGAGACCCTTATTTCGATATTCACTCCGATGAGGACGAGTGGGACGAAGAGGGCGGGTGGTGGGACCCAGAGTGGGAAAGGGAGAGAGACAGTGAGGGATATGGCTCGGAGGAATACGATTCGAACCCAGAGTATGAGAACTGGGACGTAGCGGATGGAGAATTGGGCGTAGAAGATGGAAACTCAATAACAGAGGACTACAGCACGGGGAGCAACCATTCGAACTCGGAGGTTGATCCAGCTGCAGACCCTCATCCAAACAACTCTCAAGCTGGTACGGGTATGGCGGGAGAGCAACTGCAAGCGGCCACGACCGAGGCAGAAATTCAGCATCGCGAGACAGCCGCGCGCGAGTTCTATCGCCCTCTCAATCCATCGGTCCCACGCGTAGCAGCAACAGGAAACGACGCCAGCTTACGCGCAACACAGCTTGCAAACTCTCTACTTTTCTGTCGCACGCCGCCTCCCTGCTCTGTTCTTACAGGTGTGGTAGAAGCAGCTAAGAAATCCCGGACTGCCGCCGCTCTGACGGTCGAGAACCACAAGAACGCGGACCAAGCCGTGGCCAGAAAGCGGCAGAAAACGGTACACACTCCATCTCTAGCTTCGCTTTACACCAACCAGTCCCGCCCTTCCACTACGACAGGCGTCAATAATTGACGCGTCCCGAACCAGTCTTTCAGCGCTTCATCGCCATTTGCGCGGAAGCCTACCGAGGAACGCGTCCTGGATGCCACGGGAGCATCGATCGGTATGAAGCAATCTAGTGGCCGAGCTCGCGGCAAGTTGTCGTTATTCCGGCCTCCCTGAACATCACCGAGCGTATTGATCCGTCTCATCCCTTCTGAGGCCTCTATCTCTCCATATCGGCAATTTTCTTGAAATCAAGGTCACATAGTCTATAGGACATTGTACCCACTTGCAGTGCCCGTCCACACGGTCTACGAATACATCTACTTGTCCTGATGCGACTTCGATCATCATTTTGGGAGCAAGAATGCCCGCATCTCCGGCACCAGCCCTGACATCAAGATGTCTCCATGCCGTCCTTGCATGGGCTATCGGAAGCAGATATCCTCCCCACATCCCACTCGGACTTTCTTTATACGATGAGAATGAATCTGTTGTATAATAATTCAATAGTTGAAGAAGGATGTACAGTGAAGGGGCACGCATAGGTTACGCGCTTCACATTACGTGTTGGCACGTACTGTCCTGCATGTCAGAGAGAGAGATGATCAAACTGGGTTTTATGTTCCATGAATGGAAGGAAAGCTTGCAGTGCGCGACTGCGATACGATGCGAAGATTAATGAAGTCAGGTTTGAGCCCACGTGTGATTGAGGAGCACAAATGGCAGCCCTTTCACACACACAGGCACTCTGATGGCGATATACTGCACTCGATTGCAATGATGATGCTGGTCTCTTGTGAACTAGTGAGGAATATTAACTCGCCTGGAAATGTACGCTCGGTCGCCTGGGTAACGAACGCCTCATTAGTAAGGTAGCTTGACCAGGTCAGAACACATGAATTAACCTCTGGAAGAAAGCAACGCTCTGATTTCGAACATGGCGGAGTGCAAAGCCGAGCCTATCCAGGAAATGCATATGTTCGTGTCTGACACTCCTCAGGATGGAAAATTTTACCTACCATTACATGCACCGTGACTACATATGAATGAACTGATCTACAACAATCTATCCATACAGATCTTATCAAAGCAAATGCGTCACTTACATTGCGCGGGGGTTTCGACTCTTCAAGCACCCTTCGTCTCGATCTTCATTGCCTGATTCCCATTCACAGGTTTCCAGGGTTTAGTCATTAAGAATCTCTTCATCTCGGCCTCCAGTTCATCCCACAGCTGCTTGCGATCTTGATGGGTATTTGGTCGCACCTCTGGCCACGAATCTCCAGGTGCATAACCGGACAGAGCCAGCAGTTGAGATGGCTTGACTCTGGCCGTCGAGCGGAGGAAAGTGAGGACCGGAGAGAACACAAGGTGGGCGTAATATCGCCCTGCAATGCTGCGAAGTGGTATGGTGACTGTGCTGCGCGCGCCCAGGACGGGATTGAACCGAAATCCCAGGGGTGGCTCTGGCAGAGACCCCATCGGTACGAGATCGTTTAAGGACGATCCATCATCACCGTGGCCAGGCTCTTTCTTGGCATACTCATTTTGTGCGTCATCCCCCGTCTCGTCCTCAGGAACGGTCTCGTATAATGTACCGGAGAGCCAAATGTCTGAGATGCTGGTGGGCTTGCATGTATGAATTTTTGTAATTTTGAAGAACAAGGTCCTTGTTTCTGCCCCTTGTGACAGCAGTGGAAGCAGAGGATTCCCTTCGAGGCTTTTGCCCTGTAGTCGAACAAGATCCCCAACCCAAATGCTTTCGGCACCCCACCAAATGGTGTCCCATGTGTCCTGTGGCTGGACCGTTGAAGAAGTCGTCTCCGACTTCGAACGGTGTGAAGTGGTCGCTGGATCTCCACCCGCTGTCCGGACCAGGGTCCAGAGATCAGCTATACGCCAGGTCATCACGAGCCCCTTTAGGAACGCTGGCCAAGAGCTGTCGAAGGTCGCCTGTCTTGGCTCGTGATTAATCGCGGTGTCTCGATAAATCTTGACGTCGGATAGTTTATCAAATGAAGCGTCATTGGCGAGGTTCGGAGGGCGAGAAGTCCCTAGGAACTGATGAAGGTTCATCGGGATCTGATAGGCATGATATGGCAGCGCATCGAGGGCTTCCACAGTCGAATAGTGGACAGTGCCAAGAAGCTTCAGCTTCAATGCTTGTTGCCGATCCATACCTGCCTCCGTTCGCAGAGGGCGAATAGCAATATCCACGATCACACCAGGCCAGCAATCGATTGTCTCACCGGTGTCGGCCCGCATCGGCGGGCGCACATGGGCCCATACCAATTCTCCTATCCGATAAGGTGGATGATCTCGGAGCTCCGAAAGTGCAGATAATCCGGGGGGTTCGATAGTGGAAGTTGGTGAAGCTGGTGGCGTTTCACGAAGATCGACACCGTGGTCAGCTCTTCCAAAATCGGTTCTCAGTTTGGGAACGTTATACCAGCGGTCGACGTTGACGCCCAGCCGCTGACTGAGCACTTTTTGGGGGGTACCGGTGCACCATTGGCATTCGCAGTTGCGCTGGTTGAGCGTGGGATCTGTCAGTAGCCAGGCGGCGTGAAATGCGAATTCTGCAGGTGATCGGAAGTTGTTGACATATTTGGAACCTGAAAATCAATAAGATATCCGAAAGTGACTAAGTTTCAAATCTAATAAACACACCCCACAAGTACAAATCGTCAGATTTGGCCGATGCGCCAGTTAGCCTCGGCTTTGAATATAGAGCATAGTGTTCTGGGAAGTCTTCGATGGAGTACTGGAAATATCGATTCACTGATCGGAATCTCCTGTAAGGGGGTGTCACACAAATATAAAAGACACGCTGACCTTTAAGACCGGGAAGAAGTCTTGTTAGGAATTCGCCAACTTTTTGTCTCCAATGTTTGTGTCGTTTGTCTGCTCGGGAGATGAGCACCTCGCGGGAGTGTGCACTAGGCTTGCAGTGTGGAGATCCGTCACTCCTGTGGAGCTGAAAAACACCATTTTCTGGTAGTTTGAAAGGAAGCTTCGAGGCGGACACGTTGAAGAATAATGTGTCGTTGAAGTGTGTCGGAGGAGTAAGAGAGACTTAGAGTTGACTCAGTGGCCACGAGTTAATTCCTCCGATGACCATTTTCCTTCAATGACCCCTCCAGAGCGGCGTTAGGGAGGCATTTGCCCATTCGGAAGCTGAGTAAAAAAGTCATTGGGAAAATACAAAAATTTAGGGGTCCTGCTGAAGCTCACGATGACATTGGGTGACATCCCTCCAGCCCCTAGATAGGTAGAAACGCAAAATGGAAGCAATTTTGACGGGTCCGAATCACATGCTGTGCGGACCCCCCTTTCCCGCAGGATGCGCACTCACTCTGCACAGATTCCTAAATTTGGGTGAGTCACATGCTGAACGCGTGCCCTTTGCTTCCATAGGAGGCGTGTCAACTGAGCATGCCTTAAAGTACTACTTATCTCTGCATTGTCCATCTCTCTCTTCTCTCTCTCATCTTGATTAACTACTATAACAATGGCTGTCCCACGGCTCTCCACTGGTTGTATTGAGGAGATGGTGACTGTGTCTCTTGCCTCAGATACCAGCCCTGTCATCCTGCAGCTTCTTGAGTGTAGCAAGGAGCTCAATGCAGAGGGCAACATGTTCAACCTGCCTTACTTTATGTGAGTCGTGTTTCATCAAGGCTGCATGTGAACTGATCTTCTACCAGCTTGACACTCTTGGATGGTGCATCCTTTGTTACAAAGGTGGTGCTGCACTCATCTGTTGTGCCCAGGTTGCACAATGAGGAGATCGAGGTGTACAACATCATCACTTTGACATTGTATGAGAGGTTTGTGGGTCCCAGGAACAGGTACACCTCTTGTTCAATCAGCACAGCCTAAACCTGTTCTGACCCCTCTCCAGCGTCACCTTGATCATAAACTTTGACTTGTACACCACCTGGTTTAGTCACATTTCAATGCCCATTGCTTTTCCTAGTTGGGCGAACATTGTCTCTGACTGGCAAGCAGGCCACTGTTCTTTGGGCTATGTGACTGCCCCTTACAAATTTCACTATGTCTGGCCCCTGCTTCCACAGGCTGTGCCCCCTCCCCTTACAACCCAAATCACCATGATCAGTGTGGGGGTTGTGCCCCCTGACTTTGTTGCACCAATGCTTCCAGTCCTTCCCCCACCCCCAGTGCCCATTCCTACCCAGGTCAACTGTCTCCTCCCAATCAATGTGAGTCTGGATCACACTGCCTTGCATTATTACACAAGGCACCCTACCCATGTTCCGGGGATTGCAGCACAGCCTGTGCCTCTGCCAATTGTACCCCCTGCATTGGGTACAACTCCTTTCATTGCTCCCATTCAAACAGTGCAAATGTACCAAGCTGGGTAAGCATCTCTCATGTATCCAACCTCCAGGAGCTGATGAGTGCAGACTGAATGTCCAAGTGAGAATCACAAGGATCCGACACAAGGATAAGGGAACAATCAATGTTCTCTGCCACAATTTGATGGGCGAGATTGACCTTGTTGTGTGCCATCCTGTCTGTGCCAAGTTTGCCAATGTTGAGGTGGGTAAGGTGAGCCTCAATCTGTGCAGCTGTTCTTCTATTCTGTCTAATCATATCATACCCTAGGTATATACAATTTTCAATCTCAATGCTATTGTAGTGGTTCAAGAATACTGCCGTTCATTCCATGCATCCCAGCTTGACTTCCACCACCAGCAGAGTGACATCACTGAGGTTAGTAGGCTGCACTCTTGTCCCTGTATTATCTGACTTTCATTACCAGGTCCCTGATGATGGGACAATCCCAGAATTTCATTTTAACATCTGCTGAATTGTCCAAATCCCCAAATTGCCAGATAAGAAGTGTATTGGTCAGTGATCTCACTGTGATGTGCAGCCTTCCACTTAGCTGATTTCCCCTCAGATGTGCCCTGCATTATTGCCAACACCAGCAATGTCATGCACAGGAAGGCACTGAGGCAGGCAAGCTATGTAAGCTAAGATTTCTTATACCACAGGCTGCACAGTCTGAAGGAAACCAGGGATACACTGCTGGTGCACAGACAACCCGCGTGGACATGTGGCTCTTGGACAACACTGGTTGCTGCATTCATTTGGTGGCTTTCGACAAATATTGGTTGCAGTTTGATGGAAAAGATGGAAAGCTTGCCCTGCTGAAGAACATATGCATCAACAAGCATCACAGTCTGTCCCTGAAAACTGTCTCAGACTACACAAAGATTTTTTGGAACCCTGCAAGCATTCCGGGATATGCTGCGATGGTCACCTGGTAAGTTTCCCATCTGTGACCAGGCTGTGCATCCTCAGAACGTTTGGGTGGGACTTTGCAAAGGATGATCCTGTGCAATGGCACCTCTTGAGTGCTGCCTGCAGTGCAGATGGCGCAGCCTCCCTTGCAAGTCGCCATCAGATCACTCTCCCCTTGCTGCTTACCATCACTGAGGTCTGCACTTGGCACCTGGATGAGGGTGAGATCCCCCAGATGTTCCGGATCCAGGGCAGAATCAACATCAACAAGGAGAAGAGCATCACATATGCAGGCTGCGCCACACTGCACTGCAACACAAAGGCTACCACCCCTGCTGAAGGATTGCATGGCATTTTTGACTGTGAGACATGTGATCAGAACTATATGGCCCCTGTTGCAAAGTAAGTTTTGTCTTTCAGTATGCACTGAGTTCATGCACAGCCTTCAGGTATTGCTTGTACTTTACCATTGTGGATGACAAAGGGCAGACCCAACATCCAACTGCATTTGACACTGCTGTGACTGGCATGCTGAACATTGATGCTAGCATGATGAGCATGCTATATACGGATGTGGTAAGTCTATGTACAAATTCCAGTGTGTGCAGCCTGGCTGATCCTGTTGCAGAGGGGCTACCAGCCTATCCATGCTTGTAACCTCACTCAGGCTGCTGAGGCTCACTATGTGTTCACTGTCCAGGCATCCACGAGAGCCAGTGGGTTCTGGAAAGGACATAAGCAGTGGATTGTCACAGAGACACAGAAGATTGGGCACACATATGACATTAATGATGAGGAGTAGGACTCCCCCAGCAGTGCTCCCTGTACAGCCCCCCATATGTACATTAGATAGCAATGCATGTACATGATAATGCAGTTGGCAGGGAGGCTGTGCAGCCTGTCTCACCCAATGAAGTTACATCAACAAAGGAACATCACATGGCAAAAAAAGAAGATAGGATTTTCATTCAGACAGATGATCCCTGCCCTCCCTCCCCATGTCATGCTTCCCACTGTCTGTGCTGCTGTCAGGGCACCAGCTCATTGCTTGGTCAAGAGACATGACTAAGCCTTTATGACATGGAA